AGACTTCATTAATGGTTTTCTGGATGTGCAAAAGGGGGCAGAGTTTTTATTGGCCCTCAGCAAGATTGTGCAGTACGCACACCTTGTGATCTAAGTAAATTAGCTGTGACGTTGTGCTGATGTCGGGTTTTAATTGAAGCCCTCTCTTTCTCACTTTCAAGGTGGGCGACCTAAATGTGTTTTTAACATAACCAAATAGAGCATGACAAACCCCTGGAATAGAAAGTGGGCATACATATCACTGGTCTTTTTTTTTGTGTGAAAATGACAACACTTCCTTTCACTTTGTCTGCTCCTGTCAGCCTTTTTCATGGAGAATTTTTCTGAGAATATATTGGCCCTCTAATACAGTTGTACAATATCAATTATTTGTATCTGACACACGGCCCATTCTCTGCGCTTCTGTGCCCCTAAATGTGTCCCCATATGGTACCTTTTGTTTCTTACTTTATTGTTCAGTATGATAGGTTATCAAGCAAAATTGGACATGTCACCCTAGCTTATAAATGTTTTGTTTTGTGTCCTTCGGTTCATATCGTAGAACTCAGTCCAGTGCAAGAGAAATTGCCATGGCCTATTTATGTTTATAGTTTCCTGTAATCGATTTTCATTTGCAGACCCCGGAGAAAAATCTAGGCCACCTTTGGAAAGGCCACCAATGCTTCAATGAGCAATCAATGGCCAGAATTCTCCTTTTACTTGAAGAGTCTTGGTGAAAACATTTCTCCTTGGCATTTTCACGTGGAACTCTGCTAAATGTTACACAACGCAATGCTGGAACACATCAAGCCCATGTTTTAGTTGGGTGTTTGCCAGAGTGGGTCACAGCACCACATGAACACCTAACAGATGAGTCTGTTTTATTTAGTATCAGATCAGACTGAGGTCTTGTGTTGGTGTGAACCTACAGGGTGTAGCCAACAACGGGGCCACCACACACACTTCTTGTGGTGCTGTTGGATTTCTTATGCTACTTTAAGCTTTTGCAACACTATTCTGGTCTTTCATTTCCTGCCGAAGGTCAATGGAAATAATTACTATGAATCATTTTCTAGTGAGTAAGAATCTTGATTCTATGGTTATTGAACATTCCTTTATTATGTTTTTAAAAGGGCCACATGCAATTCAAATCTCCATTCATATGTTCATTCAATGAACTTAAATAATGACATTATTCTAGCGGAAGGCAATATATATACTGATTATTGAAGCTGTCGGGGGAATTACCTTCACCCGGGTGATCTAATTTGAATTAAGTTAGCCTAGCTTGATGAAAATAGGTGGTTAGTAATTTTATATTTACTACCTGAAAGGGTCTCATTTTTTATTTACATGGAGCGAAGTGAATATAATCACTTTTTTCTCTATATGGTAAAGAGCCTTGCAAGCGAGTTTTTTTTTGTCCTGTTACTCAATCATAACTTGCTTCTGATAATCAAAGTTGAGTACGTTCAATCTCCTATATTTTATACCAATTAATGTGTTTATGGCTTGGGTTATTTATATTTATTTAATACATTACATTTATTACATCTGCTATACAGATTTCATTGCAATCCAAATAGTTGTTGAGATCTTTCACTCAGAACCACATCCTGTATGCCAACCATAATTTAAGGAGATCACCAAACATGGCACATTTCATCCTCTGGGGATCATACATGTCTGTTTAATATTACACAACAATCAATCAAATAGTTGGGTAAAGTGAGATCATTTGATCAGGACCAAAGAATTCGACTGACCAACTTTGATATTCTTAGAGCTATGTTGCTAGCATAGTAAAAAAGAAGAGGAGGCCCCAGGACAATCATGTATCGGGCTATGGAGTACAAAGAGATGAGGAAAACAAAATAGAACCGACCAAGCCACAAAGTGAGACTTCCTGTACCATCTTCACAAACAAAATATCAGATTCAAACATCAGTACTGGGGCAGTAAGGGAGACAGCAGAGAGCCCCGAGTGCCCCTGGCCTCTTTAACAATCAGAACAGACAAGGTACACAAACAAACATTGCAGAGGACCAACAGAGGGACTACAGAGCACACAGTAATCTTTCAGATGTCTCTTGGTTTACAACTTGGATCTGTTGTCGAAGTGGTTTGTTTCTGCACATGTGCGGCAAAGGTCATCGGTGTACTGGATGCAGGAAAGTGTATATGTACAAGAGTTCAACAAAAAAGAGCCAAACTTTTGATGAAAACAGTGAAGGCCAATACAATCCTTCTTCCTACTCCTGCTGAGCTTTTGCCAACCACACATCCCTCTAGTTATACAGTCGGTGAATGATCCGGCAGCAACCCATGTACACTTTTCTAGTTCGTAGGCAATTCAAAGGTTGTTAAAGGTCTGCAAGCTCAGAGTGCAGTGTGCCTCAAAATGTGTTTTCTCCACTCTGGAAAACAGTCATCAATGTTCATCGCTGTGCTGAGAAAGATAAGATAAAACTCAATCATTTGCATTAGTCTTTTCAATTTGGCTGTGGGGTTTAATTGAATCTGCGGTAATTTCCCGGACTAAATGGGAAGATCTATGTTCCTTTCCATCCCTCTGTCTTGCTGTCCCTCATTAACCAAGTCTGTCTTCTGTTCTAAAGTGGCAGTTTGAATGTGGCTGTTTTCTCACTAGAGCGTGTCTCAATGGCTTTTACTGTCCATTAAAGCACATCAGCAGAGACACGTGTTAATAATAAGGAATAGCTCAGCTTAATGGCCACCACCACAGGTCCATGGCTATCAGACTATGAGTGTCACATGCTGAATGAATTCATAAAGGGGAGCTGCTTTTAGCCTTCTATGCTGACATAGATGATGAATGGTCCCATTAAGTCTGGTGCATCCAGGGTGACTGCATTTGTGTACAGGTGTTGATATCATTTTATTTTTTTAACAAGCACTCATCGCCTGTTTGAACTGATAGAGGATTTGTCATTATCTTCTGACTGAATCTGGCTCGTAAATGTATTTTTTGAAGTTTGGCATTATCTAATTTACATCTTTGATACAAGTTAAACTGCTGTCATCTTATGATGGTTTGTAACATAAATGCATAATAAGATGCATCATAAGTAAAACACATTTGAAATCAAGGTAGGAGATTTTCCAGTAGTGATAGTCTTTTGTTCTGCAGTCCTTTTCATGTTCACTCCACATGCAGGGTTTCACACTATCTATACAGTATACCACCCACCTATATAAATAGGCTAAAAACCATCCAGTCAAAGTTGTTCATAATCCCTCACTGGCTTCCCCCCCTGGAATACTACGGTGGCCGGCAGGTGCAAACGCTAAACAACGGCCAAAAACACACACATAAGCAGGAAACACCTGCAAATAATGAAATGAAAAACCAACAAACCCTGAAAACACATACAACAGAAAAACGCTGCATTTACAGAAATGATGCAAGCTAAACCTACAACACACAAACCCCGAAACACAACGCAACAGAAAAACGCGGCAAATACAAAAACGATATGCAAAGTCAAAAGCACATACAACCGAAAAACACATTACAAAAAAAAAAAGACATTACAAAAAAAAAAGCACCGGAAGTGCTTCAGGCCTCTAGGGGGCGCGCTACGTGGAACAGATCGATGTATGTAGACATAGAGAGAACGAACAAGAGGAAAGAAAGTTCATTTAAGTGGAGAAAGATATAAGAAGGTAAGTTTTGTTTTTTTATACATAGAGCGTCATATTTATATAGCTAGCGTTAGCTTGCCTAACTACTACACCAGCTGAGGGAGGAGAGCTTCACGTGAAGAGAAGAGAAAGTGAGGGAAGAACATTGTAAAGAGATGACAAATCAAGTGCAGGCAAATAACACGGGCCATAGTGAGTACCGCGGAAAAAGGACATTTGAATTCTTAGCAGTTTGTTTATATTTATGTATTTGTGTATAGATGTTGCAACTATACAGAGCTTTAGCAATTGCCTGTAACTATGGTCATGCTAATAAAGCTATTGAATTGAATTGAGAGAGAAAGAGAGAGAGAAAGTGACAAAATGTGAAGAGGGACAAAGTAATGACAGGATAGTAGTGTGCATTAGACATTCAAGGAGAGAGAGAGACAAATCACAGATTCAACGGTGAACATGATGTATCTATTTATTTAGCTAACCACTATTTAGACTATGTGTTTTTGATTGACTTGATTACATGGATTTACTACATCAATGTATGTCTTTTCAGGCTGCCATGTTTTGTCCTTTCTGTGGCCAACATCTGGGGACAGTTCAAGTGTTCTGTGGCTCCTGTGGCAAACATGTACAGTTTTTGGCAGAAGTTGAACACAACAGTAAGTTCACTTTTTGTATTGTATCTGTTTCAAATGCAAGAAATAAGGATTCAACACACTGCTCTGTTTAGAATGCTAATTGGCAGATGCATACACTAGTTATCAGCATGAAGGACACATTTTTTCATTGTCTGTTTATGTGAAATATGTAGAAGCCATCATTAAATTGTAGACCAACGCATGATTAAATACACAAAACAGCTTATATTATACATTCATAATTGTGTATTAGTTATATCTTTATAAAGAACTTTATACATTTAGAATCAGATTTTGAGACAGTGAGCCATGACATGTTTTCTTCTTTTTCTCCTTGTGTTTTTGAACTATAGAAGTTGCAATCATCCTCCCAGCATGAAAGTATTCGTCATCTTTTGCAGCTGTTGATATTTTTTGTTAAATTATTATCACGTTAACCAACAGTTGCCACGTTATCATAAAGATATACAGTATAAGATAATGTAATTGTCACGTAAATCAAGCTGCAAAATCCATAAGCAGCTCCTATATTTACAGTACAGTATTGAACATAAGACAGGTTTGCGAACATCATTACCTGCATTGTCGAACTTGAGGAATTTCCTGTCCTGTGGACCATCAAATATTCTTCTCATTCTCAGGCATTCCATTAGGAGGGTCAGGAACTCACACTTGGGACCACCAGTGTCCACTCCATCCTCAGTTTGTCCCTCATCATCAATAAACTTAACCTGCATCTGATGAGAGGGGTCGAATGAGGCCCCTTTGAAGCCGCGGATTGCTCCATCCCACACATTGGCTCTATTAATATTGAACCTGCTGCAAGAGGTATTTTTAATTTTTGCAGAGAGTTCTGCAACAATGTCTGGCGCAGTCAGGTATTCTGTGCTGGGAAAGACAAAGTGATGTATTGTAATATTAAATGATGAAGCTATAATAAGATTTACAGTATAGAATAAAAAAATCAAGTGATAAAAGTAACATTTAATACATTTCCTCTGCAGTTTGCTCCGTTTCCTCTTCTGGCTCAGACTGGCTGTCAATAATGATAAGTGCATACACAGTTGTGTAGTTGCTGCAGTGAGAAGACAGTTGAATAATGACTTTCAAATACATAATATATGCATGACAGTCATATTTGCAAAAGGATGTCGATCCTCTTCCTGGTTTTTTTAATACATTGGGTTCTAAACTGACAACAGCACTTTGTCATACTCCTGCACAATCCTTGTAAACATTTGAAATGGATGCAACAAACAATATCTGACCTTTGACAAATATTTGTGGGTGTTTTTTGTATCGTCTTCACTAAGATGTTGTGGGTGTCCTTTGGAAATGTATGAAAGTATAATTGTTCTGCTTCCTGGCAATATTACCCACTGTGATTGGAGGCTATGCAAACAACCAAATGTACAAATAAAAATACACACCAAACAACTGTGTCACGATGCAACTGTCAACATCGTTTACCTATAGAAGGTGTTCTGACCCGGGGCAGACTGGACCTCTTCCTGGAATGGGGTTGGTTCTCCATCCTACTTTTACCCAATAAATAATGATGCAGTTTATCTAATGACAGTGTCATTAGCACACAAAGGTATTTATTGATTTCATGTTCACAAATTCAAACCTACATGGTATAATTACATTTGTAATTAGTCTTACCCGATCAGACGCTGGTTGTGGGTGCCTGAGAGGTCTGATAAAGGTAAACAAAAAATATATTCAAACTACTGTACTGTTAAAACATTCTGCTTCTTGTGGCACAAAATAACATGTTGACAATGTTTTATTTGATCCTGGCAAACTATTGTCCATTCTGGGAGTGCTCTGTTCATTTGGAAAGTCCCACACCTGCATACAACACACAAATGACTGACTGAAATAAAATAAATTCACTTTAATTAAGAATAAATGCCACGATAGATCCAAACTGACCACGGTGTCAGCAAGACTGTCTCCAGATGGCAACTTTGCAAAAACCACACTGTCCTCGTCACTTGAAGAGGTTGTTCCAGTGTAACCTAAGAAAATAAAAGTGTCATGATTAATACTATACAAATAATTGTTCCCGTCTGTACCTATCATCAAATGTTGGTTTGAATCCTGAATTATTGGATTGACATCAATCAGAAAGGATTCAATCAAAACACAAAATGTTTGTGAAATGTACATTATATTGTTGACCGTCTTTTTCACTCTCACATTAGGATTTAGGGCACAACAAACCAACATTGTTGTGAGAAAAAAGGTTAATTTAGAATTACAATCCTTAAGAGGGAATTTATAACAGTTTGAACAGAAGGAAAGTTTGGAAGCTTTTGTTGATACTTAAATTCCATTTCTTCTGCCACTATTCATAAAAGACCATTTGACGTCATAAGTTCAACCACGAAGAGAAAGGAATGATGGGTGGAATGAATTGTGTTAAGAAATATAGACAGAACAACTGTTATGTTTACATTTGAACTATTATACAGTTTAGTGCTTTAAACAAGGGGGAATATATGTCAGAAGCACTTACAACTGTTTTCAACGGCTTCAAGAGTACAGATGTACAACGTAATTCGTTGGTAGGGCTTTCCAATGGCCTCTTTGTACATCTGTACTGTGAAAGGGGTGTCCGTTCCGGGGATATTTGTTATCACCCTCGCATCAGGGTACAACAAGACATGGGCACCATCTTCCAAGTCCTGGTTAAAGGCTTTCTGCTTTTTTATGGCAGCAGCCAACAGTTCTTCACATGCCCATTGAGGTTCGACATTAAGGGGAAGTGACCTCCCTCTCAAAGGTTTAAGGCAGCCATCCATCCTCCTCATTACTCCAACAGAAATCTGCAAAAAGACAATAATATGCAAATGAATAAAACATTTTTTCGGACATTATATGAGAGTGTGGTGAGCAGATTTGAATGACAGATGTATTCATAACAGAAAACGTTGCATACCTTCACCAATTTCTGTTTATTTTTGGAGTTATGCCGTCCCTTTGTAAAAAAGGTCTCTCCCTCTTTTTTATTTCCCTATATTTCTGAAAGGACTCTACAGCTGAGCTTCCTGCTACAAAAAAACAGGAATAAAACATTCATTACTCTTCATTATGTTCAATAGGAGTCTCATCCTCAATCCCTTCTGAGGAACATCTTATAACACATTCAACAGTAGGTAACTCACATAGTTTAGAGATGTATTTGTATAATAACAGAATTCGAACTTTTAAACCAAGTTTTCTATAAATACTTATTGTTTGGTAATAAAACAAACAACCTATTTACCTGCACTGGTGCTAGGCTGTGCACTTAGATGCGCACTAGTGGTGGGCATCTCCTCAGGGACTTTGTTAGCCACATCTTTTAGAAATGTGATGTCTCTGCCACAGACACCACAAAAGCCATGCGAAGATGTCACGCTGGCACCACAGAATGGACAGTACATCTGTGGAGAAATAAAATGTAGGACAGCTAGGTGAAGTCAAAAAGAGTGGATATTTTTCGGCTACCTAAATATTATAATAGTATTAAAGAACGGTCTTTCAATTAACTCATCAGAAGCCAACCTCCTGTCTATCCCCCCCACAAACCAAGCACCGAACCTGGGGGGACAGCGCTTTCTCCATCGCTGCCCCCTCCCTCTGGAACTCACTCCCATTAAACATCAGAGACTGCACCGACCCCCCCACCTTCAAAACACACCTCTTCAGACTGTCTTTTAATGTGGGAATAATGTTGTGTTGCTGTTTTAATATTTTAATTCAACTTTTTACATTTGATGTCCTTTTTATCACCGCATCGCATTTGCGGCTCAGTTGAGGTCCCATCCACGAGGTGAGGGCGTGAGACCCCACCCAGTCTGTGATCTGCGTGTAGGGAGGGGCGTCCCGGTTCTATACTATATCTATATTATGTCAGGAGTTACATTTAGGTGCACAATGGCTCTTGCAAGCTCTTTGATCAAACACGCTAACGCTAGCTACGTAAATATGACGCTCTATGTATAAAAACAAAACAAAACTTACCTTCTTATATCTTTCTCCACTTAAATGAACTTTCTTTCCTCTTGTTCGTTCTCTCTATGTCTGGTCATACATCAATCTGTTCCACGTAACGCGCCCCCTAGAGGCCTGAAGCACTTCCGGAATGTTTTTTTTTTGTAATGTCTTTTTTTTTTGTAACGTGTTATTCGATTGTATGTGCTTTTGACTTTGCATATCGTTTTTGTATTTGCAGCGTTTTTCTGTTGCGTTTGTTTTCAGGGTTTGTCTGTTGTAGGTTTAGCTTGCATCATTTCTGTAAATGCAGCGTTTTTCTGTTGTATGTGTTTTCAGGGTTTGTTGGTTTTTCATTTCATTATTTGCAGGTGTTTCCTGCTTATGTGTGTGTTTTTGGCCGTTGTTTAGCGTTTGCACCTGCCGGCCACCGTAGAATACAGATATGAATGTGTCTTGGTTAATAATTACATATAATGTCTGTGACGAAGGTAACTTCGTCACTGTGAACTGACGGCTTCGGGCATTTTTATACAATTTATACTATTTATTGATGTAGTGTTTATTGTATTTTATTTTTAAATGTGTTCACCTTTCCCCATGTCTGTTGCCGTTGATTGTGTGCACCTGGTGCCCTGTGTTGTCTCCTCCCCCCTCACCTGTGTCTTGTTGTGCTGATTAGAGTGTGGGTATTTAGGCTCTGTTTCCCTGTCTGTTGGGGGGCTGGCAGGGAGTGTGTGTGTGTGAGATCCTGGTGGCTGCAGGCTGGGCTCACGTGAACAGCAGCAGCAGGATTGAGGCTGGTGGCTGTGTGCACAGGAACAGCAAGATTGAGGCTGTGTCCTGTGCTCAAGTTTTAATAAATGCCCACACCGGGTTATATTTTTGGACGTTCTGCCTCTGCCTCCTTGCTTGGTCTGGGCCGCTCAACGGTCAGCTTCACAATGTCCTTTTTCTGTTTTCCTGTCTTTTTAGCAGGCATTGCTTTATGAGTGTACTTTGTAGCGGTGAGTTATTATAGGTGAACAGGTTCACACACAGTCCAGAAGTCCCAGTGCCCAGCTCAATGTGCAGCATCGGCAGTTTTGTTAATTGAGGATCCTATACTGTAGTCTTATAAAAGTCCAGTCAGTTTATTGTCAAGATCAGATGAACACTTCTGAATTCCCATGCAGAGCTAACATGGCTGTCTAAAATATTTTATGAGCATCAACCAGACTGAATAAATACTTAAATGTCATGCAAAGCAATGTACACTATTTGCACAATCTTTAGCCAAAATGCTTTTAAAGCCTGAAAAAGTGAGTGCAGTAGTGACAGGTTCTCTTCCACAAGCTTCCTGCATAGTTTTGGGTTATAGATAATTGATTCTTAGGTTTGGGTACACTTTCAGTTTATTGGCTTTCTATTCCTAGCCGTACAGCCTGAGATGAGAAACTGCTTCAGAGATTTAGCTCATGAAAAGAACGTCCCCTATGTTGAAGCCAAAGTCATCCATTTTAAAGCTCTGTTGGTACTGAGATATGCATGGATGGATTGGGTGAATTGTTTGCATTAAAACCTTGTGTCAAACACCATACGGCTGGTGGTGCAATGTTTTTATAACACATGCATTCATTTTGCCACTACATACAGCAAACCGGTAACATATTTCTTACGTGGAAATGCAGCACACCAAGTTTCAGCTTGTGAAAGCCTATGATTTGTTCTCGAGACTTTGGCTGTTCAGTGTTCACCTCATGCAGGGCTCTCAAGAGCCAGAGCAGTACAAGAGATACTGCAGTTATACTGTGACAGTGACAATTGTGTGGTCCCTAAAGACATTACTATATATTCACAGCCTGATCTAGGTGCTATTTCTTTATATCTCCCTTCAACAAGCATCTATATTCTACCCCTTTTTGAAGATGACCTTTTCTTCTTCTTCTGCAACAACCCAAAGAGGCTCAGCAAAGATGAGCCACATAATCATGTATTTTTAATGACTATAATTTTTTTTCAATGTCTTGCTGTGGGGCTGAAAATATTTGTATTCCAACCGTCCGTGTCTTTTGATAAGACTTATTTTAGTGGATAAAATCCTTTTAATTTGAGCTTTAAGGTAGTTAAACAAGACATTGATTAGCTTGCAGAGCATCTATCTAATGCAACATGAACATTTGTCCTTTTGAATATCTGCTTATATTAAATGGATTGTAATAATTAGCTGTCTTAATGTAATAATAGCCTTTCCTCAATTGTAGAATTAATGAAAATGCATTTCAATTACAAAATACCAACTAGAGGACGAACAAGTTGGATTGTGAATGTGAGAGTTTTCATTGAATAGTGATTTTATACAGTTGTCATTCTTTCTGAATGCTACATGGATGAACTAATATCCTTTCATTGTCAGAACAGCCAGACTCTGAGACAGGTAATTAAGAGGTTGGTGGAGCAGTGGGGGGTGTCGTTCATGCACCTCATAATTCTTCATTATCTTCACGAAGCAGATACCTTACCTGAAGAAATATTCTTTCTATACCATTGCATGGTTTTTAATTATGAAAACTGAAGTGTAACTATCCTCTCTAAAAAAAACTACCTGACGTGTTTGGAGGTCAGATTTATAGATTAACAACGTTAATTTGCTTCCTCCACTTCCATAATCATTTCCATTAATAACTTTCCTTCCAATAGCAGCAGTATTTCAATAACCTTTTTCAAGTTAACCTTAACAATAATTGTCCTCTGTCAAAATATTTACTGGACACATGAGATTTGGACCAATCTTCTGGTTTAACTCATCCAGACAGTGAAGAAACCTGTTTCCCAAAGTGAAATTAAACATTAATTTGCTTTGGAAATAAGCGGTAGCTAAATTAAATGTGAAAAGTTGTTTTCATTTGCCTAAACTATATGAGAGGTTTTTCAGTTTACTAAACTAGATTTGTGGTGATTTAGGGATGAATGTTATTATTTAGGTACACAGCATCAAGAAGACTTTGCTAAATGTCATTTGAAACTGTGACTACCCGATTTGCACGTTTACCCGATTTGCACTGCGCAAGTGCGAGTTGGTCTGCCATATTGGACAGCTATGTATGGCAATCCAAACAGGACATTTGACGTCCGTACTGATCTAATAACAGAGTTTTTGTTTTGAATCAACTTTTTTTTAATGAAAATGTATTTCCCTTTTCCAGGAATCTCAACAGAAAAAGTTTGGCCGGACTAATACATTTCTAATGTTAAATAAATGAAACAATTCACGATTAAGAATTAGATATTAATTATGAATGCCATAAATGATTGCATATATTTACAGTTTCTTATTTTTCCAGTGTGATAGCTGTCAAACAGAAGTTAAATCCATTTCTCACTTATTCTAAGAATGTACTTAACCCACTAAAAGGATTTCTTCTCAAATAATGGGGAAATGACGTTGTAAAGACAATAACTAATCTCTCTCGTTCAGATTAACGTGGTTGGGTTCTTTACTTCTTTGCGAAACGCCGCTGTGTCAAATGTTCTACTTGGGTTGCTGTATGCAAATTTGGCAGACAAGCAAATCAGGTAGTCACAGCAGCATTTGCCACATGAAGAAGCCATTTTGAAGGCACAGAAAAGGTGGTCTACTGGCTGCGGGGAGGATGACATTTAATGCAGGTTATTCTGTCCATCCTGCAATTTTGGTTTTTACCACAATAGGCAAACTACGAAAACACACACAGCTCCTGTATCCTCAAATTGACAAACTCTGGAGGCAGCTCTACTTTTTACGTCCTCTAATGTTAGACTGAGGGTGTTTCTCAATGTCGAGTACGCTTGCTTGGTAGCACATGTCTTCCGAGTCACTTGCTTCAGAAGTGAGGCAAGAATACTTCCTGGCATTCGGAAAACGAAGATTGGAACAGGCGAGCAAGTGTGCAGTTGTGCGTCATATGAGAGGCCCTGCCTTACATTTTCCGCCACAGATTTGGGAAATTGGTCCGTGCGCAAAGCATTGTGGGGATTTTAAGACCGCGGAGTCTACACATGTGCAGCCTCGAAATGTCTCGCGACGAAGTACGCCGGACTCGGTAGAATTCCAAGTATGCTGGACATTGGAACAGTCCTTCGGCGGCACTCGATGACATAGTATACTTGATATTGTGGCTCTGCAGCAGGTATAGTCGACATTGAGAAACGGCCACTGAGGCAGTCTGGCGCTACAATGGCTCACTACTGCCTCTAGAGGAACAAGTTTGTACTACAAGACAGGACCAGGCCAGCCAGGGCTAGCCAGTTATCATGGTCATTTCAGTAGATATCTCTGTAACACAATACATACTGTAGATGTCCTTGACATTATGTCAAAACTGTTACTACTTCAAATGATTTTGATAGCCATTTATTGTTTTATCTAGATATTACTCAAGGAACATACAGTAAGCAGTTTTTAAATTGATGCTTGGCCTTTGTAAATAACTCATAGTTGCAGTAAAACCTAAATAAAGCTGCTCTTCGTCCTGCTTTTTTGTTTTCTTTTGCTCAGATATTCTTAACGTATCACTTGGCAGTTAAGCTGCTGTGAAAGCAACTATTGCATTCGAGAGTCTGACCGTCTCTTCACTTTTTTCTTTTTCTTATGGTTTCCCTCCATCTCCCCCACTCTTTTCCCTTGCTGCGTCCCCTGTGCTTTTTGCTTTTTCATGATTCTTCTTTTCTCACCCTGTGTCTATCATTTCTTTTTCTCACTCTCTCTCGCTCTCTTCTTTTTTCTCTTGCTTCCTTTGAAGTGCCGAACAATGAGAGGGCTACACTAAGCTCGTAGGGAAATCCAGGCTGAAACTGCATGGCACAGTGCAGCGAGGCAGAATCTTGTCCTCTGGACCACAGGGGGATGGGAGGGGTGTAGAGACCATCAGAAGTAAAGTCAGCATGTGGTGACAGTGACAATGGCTGCAGTGAGCTTTTATCCTCCAAGCTGCCACCAGACTAAATCAGCACAGCAAGGCTGATGAACGCCATGACTCATTTCCAGAGAACATTCCTATCTGTGCCTGTCTCTGTGATTGTTGAACCTCTACAACTGTCCTTTTATTCACTGGATGTGTACATAGAATAGATAGTGTACGGGACTATCATGGTGTTATAATGAAGACCAGATGATTTGCATGTCAGGAGCCTTTTGACTATAATTATTAAGTTTCATACAGCATGTCAGCAGAGGAGAAAGACAATCACTTGTCCTTCCATTGTCTCCCCCCCACCTCCTTTTTTGTCTTGTACCCCAGACACATCCATGCAGTGATGAATGCTATTCATTACTGAAGGATGGAACGGGAAATGAAGCAAAATGACTGCTTTGGGAAACAATCCGTGACTGGGGCATACATGTATCGTCTGCTGGAGCATCTGAGACATGTGTTTATCCACTCCCACACGTTCCTTGACGCTAAAGCCTATCTCACAGTTGCTTACCTTTGCTATATGAACTGTTTTTGAAATCTGATAGGGCCTCTCACTCCTCCAATTCCCTCTTTGTCTGTCTCTCTCATATTTATAATTCTAACTAATGCCAACAATGCATGATGTTCTTTTAATCTGTATCGCCCTTGATGAATTTCTTGAATCAGTGTGTCTCATGGAGAATTCTCTATTATTCACCCTCTATTAACTATCCTTAATGCAGGCAAATGTATTCCATCGCTTCAATAATGACCTGATGAATTCCTTTTGGATTTGTGATGACAACTTGACATTTGGTATTTATTTTCATGAATCAAGAACACATTTGAGTGCATATATGGGTAGAAAGAGTATATGTAGCACATTAGCTATAAATACATGCGGTGGTGTTTGTTAAGCATGTGGGAAGAAGATTGCCTCATTCTCAGTGGGTCTCTGCAGTTCCATTTAATTGCTGTTTAATTTGTTTGATTACTCTGATGAGGTGAACAAGTCTTAAGATCTCTCAATGCCGACAGACTTGCCTGCATCCTTAAGTTCTCTGCAGGTAATTTCACTCCATTAGCAACATAATCATATTTTTGCTGGCCTTGAACAGAAAATGATATGTAGGCCTAGATGCTTTGAGAGATGTGCTGTTCATTGGTCATTCCTAATGTTGGATAATTGATTAGTTCATAAGGCTATATTCTTATGTCAACATTATTGTATTGACATTATGCATCATGTATGACTGAGCTCAAGGATAAACTCAATGCAATGTTTTAAATAGTAACACTGAATTTGTATACGTATTTTTATTATTTACAAGAAAAGCCCATATGGCTCCTTCAAGTACTATCCAAAGTCTTTGAAAATTCATGCGGTGGATATTAGGATTACTCAGATGTAAAATAAATCCACAGGTCATACCTCGATGATTGTACTGAGTCAGTGCTGTGTTTGGACCTGCTTATCTTAAACAGTGCTAACTGGGTGAAGACGTTGGCAGATGTTATATATATATACACGTATAATGCTTATATATGACTTGACAAGTGTCTAACAAGATTCAGATTTGGTCCAGAGAAAAACATTTAATTCAGATAGAAGATGCCAATTTGCGAGCCACACGGAATTATAATGAAGGTACCTTGAATCAACCACATCACAATACATAACCTCATACACTGCAAAGCTGATCTCCATCTTTGCACCAGGCATCTTCCGGACGTTTGCAGAGCAGCTACTGTATGCATCACTGAGTAGTATAATGGGGACTGACAGGAAACGTGGGAGACTGGAGGGATATTATCAGAGAATGAAATTATGAATTATACTCATATTCACAAATAAGTGAGAAGATGATTGTGCTACAGTTGACTGGGCACGGTATGCTCTGCGCTTGTTTCTCTGTAGATGTTATCAATTCTTATAGATAATGTAAATAAGAAATCTAACACTTTCCTTCTGTTTTTTTAGGTGTGAGTGAATTTGACTTAAGGGCAAGATGTGGTGCGATCACAGGAACTCAAATCAGGTATTTTTCCTCTATTTTTTACTTTTTTGTAGTTCTCGTAACCTGTAAAACATGAAATGTGTGTGTTACTGTTGCGTGCATGTGTGTGTGTATTAGTGGACTTAGAGTGGGTCATCCCAGAGACATACTGAAACCGACAGGATGGGCTGTGGAGGTTTTTAAAGCAAGCTTTGATATGTTTTATTGATGTCCCTAAGATGATTCGGCCTGACATTTGCTGATGCTCTCTGGCTCAAGCAAATCTCTTGCCATCATAAAACAGCGTGTTCAGGGTCCACTTGGTTAATATTTATAGGGTGCCACTGCCCCCATCCGTGTCTACAGTGTCCAAGACCCAGGTTGTTTGGTCTTTTAGAGTTAATTTAAACTGTTAATCGGGATTACCAAGGCTACCCTTTCTTTTGAAGCTAGGGCAGGAAACAAGCAACAAACATTAGAGTCGGTGTGTCTCAACCACATAGTCTGGCACCAGAAATACTGAATGTGGCTAAAATCCCCACAGAGCTGCTGACTGTGGAGTTCATCTCCAGTGGGATTCACAGTTATATATAACCATTTCCTGTTCCAGGGAATTATTGTATTGAATGTGACACATGATGGTAAGTGGAGCTGCAACTCTGTGTTTGAAATCAACCTTGAGGACTCTTCACATTTTGCTCAAAGGCGAGAAATCAGCAGTACATTTTGATAGTCAATATCTTGATTGAACATGGGAGGAACTCGGAAGACAAAACTGTGGATTTAGGAGGATCTGCTGCTTGTGGGGAACTCACAAGCTAACATTGTGTCTTGTAACTAAAATAATGAAATCAATTATTTATTGCGCAGAATTATATACCAGACTAAACATTTTTATGTTACCCCTACTAGACATAATCAGAAGTGACATCGCAAAAATCACTTGAAAGGGATTCTTCTGCTTAGAAGAAGCAGCTTAGCAAATCATAAACCATTGTCTGTGCTGGAAAGTGCCACACTCAAACTGAGATTGATGCCATTTCTGATTACATTTTTAATTAAAAAAAAAAGAGTCTTGCACCAGTTTGTAAAGACGTGATTTGTGTCATTTTAAGTTTTTTTGCTACTCATAATTAATACAGGTTTTCAAATGTGTCCCTGAGAATGTCGTTTCATAGCTGTAGTACTCCTTTAAGTAAGTACTATTGTTTCTCATGTGTATAATTTCAATTTCCCTCTCTCAATGTTTCTTTCCATATTACCCATTTTACAGTTTCTACCATTTCTTTGTTGTGTACATAGGGAAAAATGGCGTTGCTTTTGGTCCACCACTTCTAAAGGCAACGGGCCGAGTAACTGTTTCAATCCACATACAGAGTGACAGGTTCAGAGTTTCTTCTATGAAGTGGAGAACTAGGCGAGGGGAGAAGAGAGATGGGATAAATAAAGAGGCAGTGTGGCAGGAAGTGGAGCATGAACCCCAGCATAGGAGATACGCTGAGCAATTGGCTGGAGCGTAAGGGGAGCTGATGGGGTTCAGATATATACTCATAGATGTTTGGTCAACAGGCATCAGGCTGACAAGGTGCTAAGATGGGGATCAGGATATAGGGCTGGCCAAAACCTTCTTTCACGATATATTTGACTACATACAGTAGCACATATACAAAAACACACGTAGTAAAGCCTATGTTTAACTGTTTGTCAGAACACAAATGAGAAAAACGATTAGTGCGTCTCGCGTGCCTACTTCCGGAAGTTGCTGCTGGTTTTGGACATGCAATATGATTCAAGGCTTTTATTGTCAATAGTACATAGCTACAGCGTAGTTATGACAATGAAAATCTTAGGTCACAGGCTCCTCTAACAGTGCAACACAATAAAATGGATAATAGTGCAATAAAATAGAATATAATAGAAATAGTGCAGAATAGTCTATATACAAGTAATTGCAATATTGATATATATAAATTGCAAAACAGATGCATGTTATGGATGTTCTTTCAAAAGTTCAGGTGTTTAACAGTCTTATGGGCTGTGGGATGATATATACGATAGACATTTTTATATTATATTAACGACATTTATTATTATTATATTGCCCTCGCCTATTGCTCTGGATCATCATAACATGGACTTGAAGTTTGAATCGAAGGACTGTTGTAGGCCTTCACTACATTATAGAGAAGTTATTAAAGGTGTAATTTGGTAGGGCCCTAGTCATCTGATTAATCACCTTTGTCGTTGCTGTGTTTCAAAACAGTCCCTGCCTGATATAAGGAAGCCCTATTCAGCGCTTCTACAGCTTTACTCTAACACCAATATAATCTCCCTCCTCACTCAAGCCTTGAATGCATTTCCTCGACAAAACAGTAATCAGTGCACAGTTTTCTCTGCTGCGCATCCCTTAATGGGATGGTAAAAATTGCGGCATGTTTATGACTGTTGTTTCACTCATCTCCAATTTCATTTGGATGTTTCTATTAGGCAGAACACAAACTGCAATTGAGGGATGCTGTGCAGACTGACAACCTGGCCTTTTTCTTGTGTGTATGTGTATGTCTTGGCATCCTGTAAGCTGTGCTCAAAGGGTTCTGGAAACATGAAACACAAGTGCTGTGTGGGTGCAGCGAACACCGCAGATGAAATTGCTTAAACAAAGTCTTTGTGTTTGGAGGTTTGCAGTGAGGACCGCTCAGACATTCCTGTGTATTCAGAAAGAGTGTGTTTAGTGTATCTTAGTTCAGTTTTCTATTCATTGAATATGTAACTTTAAAGCAACACTGTAGTTCAGGTTTTAAGTCACTGTGAACTATGGCGGCATGTGTAAGGAAAGTGGGAGTCTACGAAGGTCAATGGCCATTTGGTACCACTTATAAACCAGTTCTAACATAGTTTTCATACATCAACACAGGCTCACTATTTGGCAAGATGACTGAGCCTTATATTGGCTACTTAGCGAGAATCAACTCAGTGAACAACAGATACCAAGGATGCTGGCTGATGAAGAAGACAAAGTAAGCTAAGTCGCCAATATAAGGCTTAGCAGTACAGATAAATGTGGGCTCACTATTTGGCAAGCAAGCGGTCACAGTTGCCCTGTTTATCTCATGTCTTATAAAAGCTTATTAATGATTTATAAAGTGTTCACAACCAAATTAATAAATGAATTACAAACTATTCGTAAACCCTTTATAAGGGTGGTCATATTGTAAAGTGGTACCGGCCATTTTGTATTGTGCAAAGACAAAAATGTGTTTTGTTGTCCGTGTTAATGTGTCTTTTCTTTAGTATTTTCAGATCACTTGTTTGTGTGTTCTTTAACCTAAATAAGTGATTTATCTCTATTGACAAATCAGTGTATCTGTCTTTGCTGTGGAGTGTGCTTATCCAGGTGATGAACCAAGCTTTAGTCTCTGCTCTTAAGATATTTTTGAGCGGGTGTGTCTGGTCATGCATGTCCGGTTGAGATTGCTGCCACAAGGTTTTACCTACATCTGAAAATAACTGTCAGGAGGGGGGATATTCACCCTTTATTTGACAGCATAGAGGCAGATACTTAGAAATAGGTGCACAATGAGGGGAATGATATGCAAGAAAAGCTTTAATTATACTGTTTACAAGCCAAATATGTACTTGTGTGCGAAGGAAAACCATTTATAATTGTCTTGTCTGAAATGTACGCTGTTACGCTGTGTGGGGTTACAAGATCAAGGGTAAGGAATTGGCACTGAGTCATCATTTGTAATAGGCAGGTCCACATCTTTGTGAATAATCATTATTTGAGTAATCGTGACAAACTAACGGTACCCGTAACAAAACATTTTTAAGATAGATGTCTTAGACGAGAAACCATTACTATTTGTTTTCTTAGTGCCTTGCCGGTATAGATGGATTCAGCACTCTATTTATAGTTTGCAAGGAAGGAAACCAATGTGTTTTAAAAATGTTTCCTATATTCAACTTAATAATAATAAAATAGAGGCTTTTTAGGAATTATTCAAATTAACAAATTATTATTTTTATTGAAGGAGCTTACAGTTAATAGCATTATCACATGTTACCTGGTTAGTCTGTGTTTTTTTCCGCGTCCCAACAAGACGAAGGTGAAATGACCTCACAAATACGACACTGGATGTTTTGTCATATTGTTTTTAAAGTTTTAATGTTCACTCAAGTTATTTTGGTTTTAGTTTTAAGTTTGATAAGATTGTTTTACCACAGTTAACCATTATACCCAGCCACTAACTAATTCAACTAAATTGCCTTAACAGGTGTGTTGATAAATTAATAAACCGGTGTGTGTGTGTGTGTGGTGAAAGGAGACACAGTATCTGACAAGTTATAAAATGGAGTCCCTGCTGCTCGGCCCAAAGCTATGATTAGGGCCAAATACGAATTCACTTCATTTGATGTTTGTTTGACAGCTTTCTGTTTCTGCTCTTGATCTGCCACCAGTGTATTCTAGATTGTACGGCGGGGGACTTCTTGGAAAATCAACCCACTACCCCACCTTCAAATCCAATCTCTGTCACGTCAAGTCTGTCTGATTGCCTGTTTGAAAGGCGTTTATAAATGTCTGAAATGACATAGTATTCATCGCACACATGCATGTACACACATACACAATACACACATACACACACACACACATATGCTTTCAGTCAGGAAACGTAAAATAAGTGAGCGTGGAAATGAAGTTGCAGCTGCAACTTGGGGTGTTTGTAGGTGGAAATCACAGACTGCTATAGATGAGGTGTGTGCCTCCGAGTGGCAGAACTATTATGCTGGTGGAAATAAAATGCCCGGAACAAAGTCTAGATGTGAACAGTGTTAACTAGGCACATTTGCTGAATCCGTTAATCTGGAGTTTTCTTTTGATTTGCCACGGCCCATTTGACAAGATTATTGTCTCATGTGAACACGTTGAGGCAGATTTGGCTGTCTGCTTACCGGGAACACAGGTCAAGGGCATTTTTTGTGAGGTGAAGTGTTTTATCTTTTGTTCCCTCTCCCCTGCTTTCTGTTTTGCCTGTTACTTC